AATCAAAAAATTGGAGAGTTGCAAACATCATTTTTTTAAAAAGAAGGCATAGAGTAGAGTGGACTATGTCAGAGGGCATCACACCTTTCGCTTTTGTGTGACTTTGTTTCAGGGTTGTGCTTGGGTACACAAGCCCTACTCTGTGATATAAAATGTTGTTCTTACTGGTGATCAAGCTACCCCCAGAGTAGGCTCCAGGCCCGTGGTACTCACAAGCTGAGTATCATTGAGTAGCTCACCACCTGGCGGGGGAAGTCCAAACACAGGTGTGAAAACTTTTGAGCAGCCAGAGGATGAGGCGAAGGAGAGTCCTAGTGGACAGGCAGATGGTAGAGGAAGAGGGTACGCACTTGACTTTCTGGGGAAAGGTGGGCAGATGGGAGCAGAGTGAGCAGGTGACAGCTGGCTAGGTTTTCCTAGCTGAGAGGCAGCAGTAGTCAGATGGTCTCCAGGTGGCTGAAGCTCCTAGCCGGTGAGCTTCATGTTTCCTCATCCATGAAGTGAGGATGATTCTAGCACTCAGCGAGAGGGGAGGTTCATGGACATATGCTCAGCTCAGGTGTGGCTCAGTGCCTGCTAGTTAGTCCATTGTTATTTTTGTTGTGATTTCTCATCTGTGAAATAAAGGACATCTCTGAGTTGATGTCAGAGCCTCTGCTTGAAAACTTGGGTATAGTTTGTTGCTCTGTGCTGTTGTTGAAGACTATTATTCCATGAGTGTACCATGTGAGTGTCACATTTCTGTCAGGTAATGGACATTTGGATTGTTTCTACTTTTTTGGCTACTGTGAACATTAATACGCATGTCTTTATTTTTTATTTTTTGGTACTGGGGATCAAACTTGGGACCTTGCGCTTTTGAGGCAGGTGCTGGAACCACTGAGCTAAATTCCTGGCCCAATATGCATGTCTTTAGGTGCACACATTTTCTGTCTCTTGTATAGATTTCTTGGAGTGGAATTTCTAGGTTGTTTTGTAAGTTTAACATTTTTAGAAATGTTAAAAAGAAAACTGTTTTCCAAAGTGGCTCTTTGATTTCCAACCAACAGTATATGGAGGTTCCAGTTTCTCCAGTGTCCTCACTAACACTCGTTAGTATCATTTTTTAATATTGGTATCTCATTATGGTTTTAATTTGAATTTTTCTGCTGACTAATGATACTGAGTGCTGTTTTCATAAACTTTTAGTTATTCATGTATATTTGGTAAAATGTCTATCAGATCTTTTGGTGATTTTAAAAAAAACCCTGAATTGTGTTTTTAATTATTTAATTAACAGAATTCCTTATATATTTTGCATACAAATTATCAGACATATAATTTGCAAATATTTTCTTTCAGTCTGTGGCCGCCCTGCCTGTCTGCCTGCCTGCCCACCTGCCTTCCTACCTTCTTTCCTTCCTTCTGTGCTATGGGTTAAATCCAGGTATTCACATAGGCTGAACCCGTACTTTACTACTGAGTTAAATGTCTATTCCCTCCATTTTCTTATGATGTCTTCTGAAGTGTAGAAGTTTAAAAATTTTTCTTTTTGGTACTGGGGATCGAACTCGGGTCCAAAAAAATTTTTTTTTTAGAAGTTTAAAAATTTGACAATGACCAATTTATCAGTTTCTTCTCTCTCTTATGGATTATGCTTTTGGTGTGTAGCTAAGAATTCTTTGGCCAACTTAAGGTCATGAAGATTTTCTCCTGTATTTTCTTTTTGGTGGTTGTTGTGTTTTTTGCTTGTTTGTTTGTTTTTTTGAGACAAGGTCTCACTTTGTAGTTCAGACTGGCTTTTAACTCACTATGTAGCTCAAGTTGGCCTTGAACTAATGATCCTCCTGCCTCTACCTCCCCAGTAATGGAGTCACAGGAGTGTGCCACCACACCCAGCCTGTATTTTCTTCTAGAAGTTTTAGAGGTATACCTCTTAAATTGTGGTGTCTGAGGCATTTTGATATTTGTATATGGTATGAGATTTAGATTGAGGTTAATTCATTGTCCTTTGTGCAGAAAAAAGTTCACATAGCAGGCCTAAGACTGCTATCCTTAAGAAGGAAGACCTGCTTGCAAGGTTGGCCCATGACTGGAGTCTGGAAACTTGGACTTTAGGAGGGCTTCATCTTTTCCGGACTGGCAAGTGAACTCATTGGGCCTAAACTGTTTCTACAAATGATGTGGTTTATGCTGAGCTGCCTGATTTCCTTCTGGGAACCTGGAATTCTGCAGTTTTTCTAAGCAGAGGCAATTCCCTGATTAGCCCCCAGTAAAAGGTCTGGACACTGTGTCTCTAATGAGTTCCCTTGGTAGGTGACTTTGCATATAATTGGTTGCTGGAGGAATTAAGCATATTTCGTCTGACTTTATTGGGAAAGGATTCTTAGAAGCCTGTGCCTGGCTTCCTTCATATCCCTCCCTATGGGCCTGTTGGGCCTGTTCCTTTGCTGACTGAATCTTTTTCTTTTCTTTCTATCATCAATACTAGGGATTGAACTCAGGGACTTCACCTTGAGCTACATTCTTGGTCCTTTTTTAAAAATTTATTTTATTTTTTTCTTTTGAGACAGGGTCTCATTAAGTCAAGTTGTCCAGGCTGGGTTGACCTTAAGACCCTCTTTTCTCAGCTTTCCTGAGTGCTAGAATTATAGGCATGAGCTTCTGTGCCTGTGTTGTTTGTCTCCTTTAGCTCTGATGAATCAAAGCCATGAGTCCTGAGAGTCCTGCTCAATCAGTGAACTGGGGGTGATCTTGGAAACGCTGGCATACCTCTGGATGTTGGATCGCTTCAGCACCATATGTTGAATTTTACTTCTTTTGTCAAAATCAGTTAACCATAAATATAAAGATTTGTTTCTGGACTCTGTTCCATTGTCTGCTCTATTCTGTCTTGATTACTGTGGTTTTGTAGTAACTTTTAAAATCAAATATCAGAACTCTTTCAAATTTGGTCTTTTTTTTTTTTTTTTTTAAACTGGCTATTCTACATTCTTTGCATCTCTATATAAATTTTAGGATTTGTTAGTCAATTTCTGCTACAAAGCTTATGGGATTTTAATGGGGATTGCATTGACTCAGTAGAGCAACTGGGGAGACTTGACTTTTGACTATAAGCAGTCTTCTAATCTTTAAACATGGAATAGCTCTCCATTTAATATCTGAGCACTGTTTCATAGTTTTCAAGGTGCAAGTCTTTTAATACTTTTGTTATATTTATTCCTGAATGCTTTATTCTTTTTGATGCTTTTGTGAATGAAATGGTTTTCTCAATTTCAGTTTAAGCTTGTTCAGTGCTAATATGTAGAAATAGAATTTTATTGGTTTGTTTGTAGCATTTTGAACCCAGGGCCTTCACACTGACATCCCTAGCCTGTTTTTTATTTTTTATTTTGAGTCAGGATCTCACTAAGTTTACCAGGCTGGGCTGAAACTTGGAATCCTCCTGCCTTAGGCTCCTACAATCCTGGGGTTATAGGCATGTCCTACCATGCCCAGCTGGAAGTAAGTTATGTGTATTTCCCCCCCTTTTTTCTTTTAGGTGCTGGAGATCATACCCAAGGTCATGATTCTACCACTGAGCCATGCCCCTAGCCCTAATTTCTTTTGTTGTTGTTGTTGTTGTCTTTTAGAGAGATTTGCCCTGATTGCTGTATACTGATTGTATCCTGTGACCTCACATTGATTCTAACATTTGCTTTGTAGATGCCTTGGGATTTTCTACATACTGTATAAGATAACTCCCCACAAGGAATGTAACCATTATATACTGTAAATGTACTAATAAAAAACCAAACCACCCCCTCCCCCAAAAAGAAAAAGCCATCTGTGAATAAAGACAGTTTTATTTCTTCCTTTCCAATTTGAGTGCCTTTAATTTCTTTATTTGCATCTCAGTGCATGGATTTAAGTGCCAGGGGTGGTGGTACACACCTGTAATCTCAGCACCCTGGGAGGCTGAGACAGGTGGATTGCAAGCTCGAGTTCAGTCTGGGCAATTTAGTGACACCCTGTCTCAAAACAACAAAAAAAAGGTGTGGGAGGCTAGGATGTAGCTCAGTGTGAAAGCTCTGGGTTCAATCCCCCCAGTACCATAAAAACAGCTACAAAAAGAAGTGGCAAGAGCAGACTGGGTTGCCTTGGTCAGAAGGGGAAAATAGTCTTTCACTGTTAACTATGAAGTTAACTGGCAGTTTTTGTAGATTCCCTTTGTTAGGTTTTGTAAATTCTCTTTTTTTCCTTGTTTGTTGAGAATTTTTGTCCACTCCTCCTACATACTTCCACTGAAACAATGGTCTTACTTTGTTTTTGTTGTTGTTGTTTGTTTTTTGTTTTAATTTTTAAAAACTATTTATGTATGTATGTATGTATGTATTCATTTATTTATTTTGCAGTACCAGGGATCGAACTTAGGACCTTGCGCTTGCCAGGCAGGCACAGTGCCAGTGAGCTATATCCCCAGGGCCTTGTTTTAATTTTTTGAGACAGGATTTCACTATGTAGCTCAGGCCGGCCTCCAGCTCACATTGATTGTCCTGGCTCAGCCTCCCGAGTGCTGTGATTATAGGCAGCTCCATCATGCTTGGCAATGGTTTCACTTTGTTGCCCAGGCTGTCCTTGAACTTTTGGGCCCAAAAGATCCTTCTACTTCAGCCTCCCAAGGAGTGGGAATTACAGGTGTGTGCCCCTGAACTTGTTGGCTTACCCATGTCCTTTTAAGGGGATCATTTATGGTCTTTCAGGGGGGTGACTGGGCGCAGTCTTTTCTGAAGGTTATTGCTTTGCAGGCATTTTAGGATTCACATGCATAAGCTCACACTGTCATTGGCTACATCCCCAAGTCCCTTTGCCAACAGTCATGGCTTGTGATGGGGCAGGTACCCAGGATCTCGGAGACACCTTATCCAATCACATCTGGCCCTCAGCTTCAGGCGGCCCTGAGCAGGGCCTAGGAGCTGGATCTGTCTGCCCGGCAGCTGGGATCCTTGGCTGAGTCCTCTTCTGTCCTTCTCTTTGAACAGAGTGGCCACGAACCAGAAGGTGCGGGAGCAGGTGCGCCTGGAGCTGAGTTTCGTCAACTCCGACCTGCAGATGCTCAAGGAGGAGCTGGAGGGGCTCAACATCTCGGTGGGAGTGTACCAGAGTGGGGAGTAAGTGGGCAGCGCACGGACACGCCCGCCTCTGAGGGGGTGTGCCAAGAGGCTGGCGCCCCCTACTGCAGGAAATGAGACAGTGATCGGACCTGGGCTTGAGCCCAGTGCCAGGTTAAAGGGATGAGCCTGTGGAGTTGGATGGGAAGTAACTGGATTGTTGGACAAAAAGACATTTGTCCTGGGCGCCCCTTGGGACGTGCTTTATAGAGTTGTGTGTCTGGGTCTAAGGGGGAGGCAGGATCTCTCACTTGGGCTGCATGGTGTGTCTGCGGAGAGATGTCCTGAGAGAGCTGGCCTCCCAGATGGGGCCTGGCCTTGTCCCCGAGCCCTATACCAAGCACAGGGCCTGCCCTTGGGTCTTTACCTTGAAAAGATGCAAGAGTTGAAACTGCCTTGATAAGGGTATTTTACAATAAAGATTAGGGAAGCCCCCCAAATCTCCAAGAAGACAGTGCAATGATGATACTTCAGAAACATATCTGGTTAAATATTTGAGAAATGAATATTCTTCAGGAGCAGTCTTTAGGGAGTGTTTGTGGGTGGTGGAATATTGAGGTGTGGCTGTCTGAAAATCCCAGAAAGTTTTCCACCCAGGGTGAGCTACTTTTTTTGGAGGTAGTGGAAGCCCCTGTTTGAGAAGTGTTAAACTCCAGAAACGGTTTATGTACTTTTCTTTCACGGAAGGGAGGTTCTGTAAAAGTGGGTGGACTCCAGGGAGAGCTTGAGAGCAAAATAGTTCACTGGATTAACAGAAGGAAGACATTCGGGGACTTGGAGTCACCTTGGAATGCGCACTTCCCAATCCTAAGCCTCTGCAGGGCCCCTGGCTTTTTGAAGCCTAAAGCCCCTCTGGCCCCTCCTCTGCCTGCCGCCTCCCCAGTGGGCTCCCAGTGTAGTTTGAAAGCCTACTCAGCAGCAATACACAGAAGGTTCTCCTAGCCTAGATGCTGGTGTTAAATTCCAGTTTGCCCAAAAAGGCCAGTTCCTCGAAGAGGCGAGGCAAGGTAAACCTTGGTAGTAAATGGAGGCTGTTTCATACTTGCATTTGCTGTGTTAAACAGCAAGGGTGTCCATCATGGGGGTTTCTCCCAGAGCCATGCACTTAAGGCCCTCATGTGGTCACAGTGGCTCTGGAGTGGTCTCAGTCACTCCTCTGTGTCACGGAGGAGAGGGGAGACAAGTGCAGATTCCCAGTAGCACCTTGCGCTTGCATCCTCCATTCTAAGCACTTTCAAAGCCGTTTCTTTCCTTAGCCCTTCCGCAGGTCCTCCCCTAAGCAGGAGGCCAGGATTTGGTAGCTGGTGCTGAGAGAAAACCTTGATTTCGTCCTTGCCCTGGAACTATGCCAGTGTCAGCTGTCACTGTCAGTGGGACAGACACCATTTTGTGATTTCTGGGCAACATTGTACCTTCCTCTTGCTTCTCTAATCTTAGGTGCCCCCCCCCCCACCAAAAAAAAAGAAAAATAATTTTTTAAAAATGTTCTTTCCTTCCTGGTACTGTACATCTTTAAACACTTCCATGAGGCAGACAGGGAAGAAATGGTCTCACTGTGCAGATGAGAAAACGCAGTGACACACTGGGGCTGGGTGCCCTGGGGCTGGGTCCTCAGGACACCCTGTCACTCCTCTTCTCCTTGCCTGGGTGTCCGTTGTGGGAAGAGCAGAGCGTGCCTCCAGCCCCATGTGGGCTGAGGAAGGACAGCACTGGTGCCTGAAGGAGCAAGGCCTGACCTGCCCTCGGGTCCTTCCGCCAGAGTCCAGCTTTCCTGGTGGGCTTTGGGGAAGCTGCATACCTGGGCTGTGTCTCACCTGCGTTTAGCACAGCTGTGCCATGGTGGCAGTTTCAGCTTACAGCCCCATTGTCCACTCACCGTGCCCAGCATTCCTGGCCTTGTCTCTGGGATGGGCTGGAGGGCTCCTGTTACAGGTTGGGGAGCTAAATCCCTCTTTGCAAAACATAGGCTGCACCAGTCCACTTCCTGCTGGCCCTGCCCCTAGGAATGTGGGTTCAGGGAGCACTCTCAGGGCAGCCTGTGGGGTGCCCCAGTGGTCAGTGGGAGGCACTGGATGGGAGTGGATATGAAGTGGTCCATGAGTCCGGCCCTGGACTGGGAGCTGGGTGTACTGAGGTGTCAGACAGGCATTCCCTGAACAGGTAAGGGAACACCTGGTGTGATGTGCCCCAAAAGACAAGGCATCTGAGAGCCCAGGCTTGTGCTCTGGGGGGGTGGGTATTGGATTGGTGAGACCCACAGTGATGAGAAGAGGAGGAGGGGCTGGGGATTTAGCTCAGTGGTGCGGTCGCCTGCCTCGAAAGTATAAGGTCCTGAGTTCGATCTCGATCTCCGGTACCCCGCCCTAAAAGAAAAGAAGAGGAGGAGGAGGGTGGGGGCTGAGGACCAGAAGGAGGCCCAGTGTAGCAGGTGGCAAACCCAGGGCAGGTCAGGAGGCAGTGAGCACCCCAGACATAGACCTGGTGCACATGGGTTCTCGGCACACTTGCTGCAAGGTGCATAGGACTGGAGAGCTGGTGGGGCCCTGTTATCATGCTGGGCCATTCAGCTATCACAGGGATCTGGGGAGTCCCTTGAAGAGCAGAAAGAAGGGCGTGACCAGAGTTGTCTTTATGTTCACTTTTTTTCTTTTTTTTGTGCCGGGGATCAAACTCAGGACCTTGCGCTTGCGAGGCAGGCGCCGGAACCACTGAGCTAAATCCCCGGGCCAGAGTTGTCTTTATGGAATGCCAGCCTGTCAGCCAGGAGTGGGCTGGACTGGCCTAAGGAGAGGGGTGGGGATGAGAGCTGGGTTGCTGGGGCAGGGCCATAGGGCGTACAGTGGCCAGGTTGGGGTGCTCATATACCTTGTTGTATTCCTTGTAGGGAGGCGTTTACAATTCCCTTGATTCCTCTTGGCCTGAAGGAGACCAAAGACATTGACTTTTCTGTCGTCCTCAAGGTAAATCTCCAAGCACTGGGTCCTGGGCTCAGAGTTTAAAGTGGAAATGGAGGACTTGTGTGTTCCTTACAGTGGCTTTAGGCTCTGTGTGCCAAGGGTCACTTGGTGTCTGCAGGGTGACTCTGAGCCCTCTCTTGGCGTGTGGCTCTGAAGTTCCTCCTGTTTGCATGTAGAAGGCGTGTTGGAGTCCCAGGACTCCATGGGAGTCAAGTGAAAAGAGGGTCTGTACAGGTGTGCAAGTTAAAAATTGTACCCTATTATATTAGTATCTTTATTCTTAAAATTGTGTAAGCAGTTTAGGCCATGTTTGTGAAAGACCAGGTTAAGTTTTCCCCCAAACATTTGATTATGGAAAAATTCTGAGTTTATGGAAAAACTGAAAGAATTTTATAACAAACCCCTGTATATTACTTTGTAGATTCTACCGTTAACACCATAATACACCATATGCTTTATCACCACGTACCTAAAACATCTTGCTTTATTGGATATCTGTCCATTCATGCATCCTTGTTTCTATACATCAGTCCACCTGATTTTGTGACACATTTAAAAGTAAATCAGAGATGTCAATTTACTCCCCTTCAGTACTTGAATAACTAGAGTTTGGGGTTTGTTTTCTCCCCTATCTAATTCCTGGGTGTCTGAGCTCCTCTGTCATTTAGCAGATACTTGTGCTGACATTGTGTTGGGTGCTAGAAATGCCACAGACTGTGCCCTGTGGGTCAGTGGAGGCCCGGAGAGACAGGGACTTTGGTGGAACTCACAAGAGAGGCTGTGTTCCCAGCCTGGGGCCAGAATACTGTTCCATGCGTAGAATGTTCCAACCCTCCACCCACCATCCTCAATTTAAGGTTTGGGGTTTTTTTTTGGGACTGGGGCTCGAACTCAAGACCTTGTGTGTACTAAGCCCGACCTCTACCACTAAGCCACATTCTCAGCCCAGTCATCGGTTTGAGATATCATGAATCACTTCTAGCTGCCATTTAGGAGGAGATTAAGAGAATGAGGGGGAAGGTGGTGCCTGTCTCTGAGCTTTAACAGCACAGGCACAAGAGATAGGAAAGAATCCCAGAATGGTGAGAAATGCTTCAAAGAATTATGTTTCTTAGTAATCCTGTTCAGTGACTCATCTCGGACCATTTTTAGTTGAGGAAAGAAAAAAATTATCATATGGCATTTTGACCACTAAAAAATTTATCTGTTAAAAGCAGTTGGAAGCTGGGTGTGGTGATACATGCCTGTAATCCCAACATTCTGGAAAGCTGAGGTAGGAGGATTGCAAATTCAACCCCAGCCTGGCAATTTAGTGAGACCCTGTCTCAAAATTTTAAAAAAGGGTGAAGGCCCTGGGTTCAGTCACCAGTACTGGGAGGGAAAAGCAATTAAACGTTTGCACTGTGAGTTCCCCTTTACCCAGGGCCTCTTCTGCTGCAGTTTTTGTTTAAATCCAGGTTACAGACCCTCCCTGGAAGTCGGAGGTTAGGCTGGAATGGGAGAAGGGCAGGTTTACCAGAGTTTATTTTCTGGATAAAAAACATTTCTTTCTCTCTCCCTTTCTTCTCTTCTCTTCCTCTTCCTCTTCTTCTTTTCTTTTCTTTTGGAAACATTTCAGAGACAGCAGCTTTATGCTAGCTTCTCAAGGCTGCCTGAGCTTTTAGATGTAACTTGTCACTGATTTGTGGGATTTGAGACAATCCATGTATTTGTAGAAATGCTTTTAGTTGTATTTATAGTCTTTTCTTTAAGATTTAATTTGTCTGTTGCTTGGTGCCGGAGCTACAGGAATGCAGGCATTTTAAAGGATTCTTTTGAAGAAACTTGGGAATTTTATGAGCATCTGTAAGGCTCCAAATAGGTCACATGCTGAATTCCACATTAAAGCAGGAGGAAAAAAAAAAAAATCCCATGTTGTGGGGATGGCTAATTACTATTCAGCCATGGCTTCTGACCATGTCATTTCAGCCTAAAAGGGGCTCTTGCAGATGTCAGTCATCCAAAAATGGGAATGTTTGGGCACTTTGTATTTTCTGCTTTTCACATTTGTGCTTGGGAGAAACACAGATACCAGAGAAGGGGTTCTGCTGGCTGAGTTGGGAGTTCCATAGGGTGTTTAAGGTTAGGATACCTTCGTGGGGTGATTTTGTTCTATTTTAAAGAAATAGGCTTTATTTATGTATTTATTTGGTTTTTTGAGATGGGATCTTCCTATGTAGTCTAGGCTGGCCCTGAACTCACTATTCTGCCTCTTGACTGCTGGCATTACAGGCATGTGCTACCGAAATGAGCTTTTAATAGCCACATTAAAAATCACCATCAGGGCTGGCCATGTAGCTTCCTGGTAAAGCACTTACTTGCCTAGCATGGGTATGGCCCTGGGTTCCATTCTTAGCACCTCAAAACAAAACAGAAAAGCACCATCAAAATAGATTCCTTTGCCAGGGATTTAGCTCAGTGGTGCTGCTGCCTGCCTTGAAAGCACAAAGTCCCCAGTTCGATCCCTGGTACAAAAAAAAAAAAAAAAATTCCCTTTTCAAGCTGGGTGGTGCACACCAGTAATCTCAGCACTTGGGAGGCTGAGGCTGGAGGATCTTGAGTTTAAGGCTAGCTTGGACTACATACATAGCAAAATCCTGTTTCAAAAGATCAAAAAAGAGAAACAAAGAAACAAAAAACCCCCCAGAAAATATTAGTGCAGAATATTCAGAAAATATGAAGACATGTAAAGAACCCTCCCTACAGAGCTTTGTAACTTGCTCAATATTGTATTTAATCCCTGGCCATCCCGATCTTTTCCTCTAATCAGGGGCCTCCCTGGAGAGGGCATTGTGAGTATCTTTTCTACTCCTCCTTTCCCCTCTGTTCCTGACAAGCAGGCATCTATAGACTCCTGCCTTGGCTTCCTATTCAGTATGGCCAGGGGAGGAGGAGGAGCAGCAGGGAATCTGTAGGCCATCGGAGAGGGAAGTCCTAGGTTCCTTGACTCCTCCAGCTGCCCTTTGTGTTCTTCTAGGACGGCCACAGGGGACTATTGGATGCCTACCTAGGTAGCCACCTCTCTGGAGTTCCTAAGGTGCTTCTCTCTGGGCCTTCCAGCCCCTGGGGCTCAGTTATTGTTACTTTTTGTTTTGTGTGGTGGGATCCAGCCTGAGGCCTTGAGCCTTGAGCCTTGAGCCTGAGCCTGAGCTCTCCCTCCTGCTAAGAGCTAAATCTTCAGATCAGGTGAAAGAGATGTAACTCCCAAACCTACTAGATATCAGAAATGTAGGTTTGTGTTCTCTAAAATTGAAGAATGAATTTTAGGAACAATGGAGGTTAAGAGTAGGAAAAATTTATTGGGAGAAAGAAAGCTTCTAAGAGAGACAGAAGGGGGACCAGAAAGTGGGTTGCCCACCCAGCCCACATTTCAAAGATGTTTTATACAGCAAAGCCGTTTGGTGAGGTGAATACAAAGTGGGACAAAACTATAAGACCCAATGGAAATTTACAAGGTGGACAAAACCATGACCAACCAATAAGATTACAAGTACAGTCACCCAGGTAATATTGATTAAATTGGAATCAAATGGGGGAGCAAGTCCTGTAGCAAGCACACAAAGATTTTCAGTAAGGGTGGGGGTCAGGGATATTTCCTGGAGAGACTGGGTTAAGACCTTTACCCCCCACCCAGGTGATTGATACCTATTTAGAATATCAGTCACTGCAATTTATCCCCAGGGAAGCACAAGGGTGTGTAGTTTCTCTCCTTTTACACTTCTGGCCTTCAGTGAGTGTGTTTTGATTGTCCTCCATGTTGGCTCCTCCTGGGCTGGCCCTGTCTAACTGCCTGTGAGATATCTAAGTTACCTATCTGCAATACTGGGATTTATTCAAATGGTCCGAGAGCACTACCCCTGTGGTTTCCCTTACCTCTGCCCACACCACTGTAATAGTAATAATCCCCGAAATTCCCATCAGCCACCTGTGTGTGTGCGTGCGCTGCCTCCTTCCTGCTAACCTTGTGGCTGTGCTGCCCTTAGGGGAAACTGCCAAGCACAGCTGACTGCAGCCAGGTGCTCACTGTTCCCAGGCTCCGCACAGTCAGGGGAACCGAACCATCCAGTAACAGAACTGGACCATTGCAGAGCTGTGGCTGAGAATGGCTTTTTGTGTTCCTTTGGGGACATTGCTGGCACTGTTATCTACCTGCTTTTTTTGGTACTTGGGATCGAACTCAGGTCCTTGTGCTTTTGAGGCAGGCAGCAGCACCACTGAGCTAAATCCCCGGCCCCTCTACCTGCTTCTTAAATCTACTGAAATCTGCTTCTGAGCCCTCTCTGGGTCTGTTTTCTCACCTTTGCACACAGTTCCTCACTGTTGTCGTCTGTGCGTTTTATCTCCTGGTAGAGCAAGCCTCCTTTGTTACTGTGCTTTTCCTATGTTATTTGGCTTTCCCCCTGCATTTTTGTTTCCATGTTTTGGACAAAAGTGCAACTTTACAGTATTGCATATTTTTCTTTGAGTATCATACTCAGTTGTTGAGGCCAACAAACAGCAAGTGTTATAGTGGTAGGGATTATATCTATCTTTCAGAAACCATTTGATGAAAGTCAGGCATACTGGTGCACACCTGTAATCCCAGCACCCTGGGAGGCTGAGGCAAGAAGATCACAAGTTAAAGGCCAGCCTGGGCAATTTAACAAGACCCTGTTTCAAGATAAAAAATGGCTGAGTATGAGTGGTAGAATGCCCCTGGGTTCAAGTCCCACTACTGGGGAAAAAAATTAATGAATGAATGAAAGAATGAATGAAATGTTATGCCCTTTAGTAAAGTAGAATAGTTGTCTGCTTTTATTAACTTTATCCCTAGGAATATCGTACATTTGTTGCTATTGTGAAAGTTATTATTTCGGTCATATTTTTGTGACTAATCATTGCTTGTGTAAGAAAAGAATATTTTTTCTCATTATTGACTTAGCTGTTTAGCTACTTTATTGAATTCTTGGGGCTGGGGATTTAGTTCAGTGGTTCTGGCGTCTGCCTCGAAAGCGCAAGGTCCTGAATTCGATCCCTGTTACCCCCCCCAAAAAAGAATTCTTACTTAGTGATTTTTCAGTTGCTACTCTTGAGTTTTATAACTGCTTTTATTTTGTCAAAAATTGGTATTTCTTTTTAGTATGCACCTTAAATTTTCAAATTTGTTGGCTAGAGAACTTTAAGAATTATACTAAAGTGATAGAAACCCTTATTTTGTCCCTGATGTTTGCAGTGGATTCCAGCTAAATAGTTTCTATATTCCGGAATACATTTTTTTTCTTTTTTGAGACAGGGTCTTTCTACGTAGTTCACGCTGGCCTCAAACTTGGGACAGTCCTCCTGCCTCAGCCTTCTGAGTCCTGGCATTACAGGACTGTGCCACAATGCCTAGCACTCCTGCATACATTTAATCTGTCCTAGTTTACCAAATTTCAAAAGTCAGAGTATATTTATTTATATAGCTAGTCATTAGGTTTTTGAGACTGAGTCCTGCTAAATTGCCCAGGTTGAACTCGAACTTATGATCCTCCTGTTCTAGTCTCTCATAGTGCTAGGATTACAGGCACGTGCCATCGTGCCTGACTTTACATTTGTATTTTGTCAAAATCCTCTTTGTCTTTTTATGAGGTGAACATAGGTTTCTCTTTTAACTTCTTATCGTAAGTATAATTCCTCTCCTTTTAAGAAAAGTGTCGCAGTGTCCACAGCAGAGGCGGCAGGACATGGTGCCATGTGAGGGAGGCAGACCATCCTCGCCCCTGGGTGTCTGCTGAGTGAGTGGCAGCCCCTCAGCCCTGGGCTCAGGGTCGTCAGCGGGGAGCCCAAGATCAACACTGTCCTGCTGACCATCCTTGCCTTTGCTAGCTGCATTGATCATACAGTATTTGAAAACCATTCCTAATTTTACAAAGGGCCATTGTATTATTAGAGGAGCTGACGCCAGTCATCACTTAAAGAGAGGAAGAAAACCTGTGCCAGTATAAGACACCAGGAAAAGTGTGCGTCAGGGGCGGTGGCACCTGCTTGTGGAGGTGGCTTGAGCGTGGCGTTAGAGCCCAGTCTGAGCAACATAGCCTCACTGGGGTTGTCTAAAAATAACCAAATCAAATCAATCTGTTAGGGATTTATTTTAGAATTTATCAGAGGTATAGACAGGGATGATTGTCAAGATACTATCTTTCATTGTAAAATCTGGGAAATGATTTTGGTGTCTTATCAAGTGGAAGTTAAATAAAACCTTGTTGCGGTTGACTGACATGTGGCAGGTGCTCAGATTATTTGTTGAATACATAAATTGTGCACTCGTTACATTGGAGGATTATAGAACACTAAGCATCATGTTATAGAATATTTTATGGCATATAAAAACATTTGATACGTTGCCAAGTTTAGAAAAGGGCATAGCCATAGCCATTGTGTATTCAGTACGTAGTCATTTGTACAGTATACACAATACTACAGTGGTAGTGTGTGTGTGTGTGCACTGAATGACGCCAAAAGCAGGAGGAGTTTTAAAGTGCAAAGTGTGTACAGTGAATGTGCACAAACACCTGGGAAATGTGCTTTGTAGAAACATTCTCCATGCCTCTTATATCTCTCTTATTTTTTTCCTATAATACTTGGCATCTTTTAATACAAATGGAGCATTCCTAATCAGAAAATCTAAAATGATTCAAATTCCGTAACTTTTAGACTGCCAACATGATGCCACAAATAGAAAATACCATACCATGAAACTTCGTTTCATGTACACAATTATTTAAAATAATGTATAAGCCAGAGGTGGTAGTATATACCTGTAATCCCAGCACTCTGGGAGGCTGAGGCAGGAGAATTGCAATATGAGCCCAGCCTGGGGAACTTACCAACTTGAGGGGGTGAGGAAGAGGAGAAGAGGAGGAGGAGGAGGAGGAGGGGGAAGAAGAGGAGACAGTGATGACTGGGGACCATAGCTCAGTGTGAAGGCCCTGGGTTCAATATCCAGCACCCTAAAAAAAAGTGTATTATTATCTTCAGACTATAGATATAAGATGTATATGAAACATACATGGATTTTGTGTTTAACTTGGGTCCCATATCTTATTGGATACATGCAAATGTTCCAAAACCTGAAAAAACATTGACACCAGAAACACTAATGGTCCCATGCATTTGGATAAAGCTACTTGTATACCACATAGTTTATGTATTTATTATACCTGAGGGGTGCATTGTCACATCCCCAGACACAGATTTCCTTTTTCTGGAGGACCCTAAGTGCTGAGGGGAGCCCCAAAAGTTGAAGGTCTGAGCCTTTGCATATCTGTGTCATCTGTTAGAAGTGTTTAATGTAGATATTTTTAAACAAAAAATAACTTCAGTATTTTACAGAGCAACATCTAAAAACATAAAATAAAAAAATAAATCCTTGCACTCAGAAAATCATGACTGTGTGTGTGTGTGATGGTTGTAAATCTGTTTCTCTAGTAACCACTGATTGATTCACCATGCAGTCTCTCATACATTTTTTCTGTAGTGTGTGTGTGTGTGTGTGTGTGTGTGTGTGTGTGTGTGTAAGGGAGGTACATTTGACATAGGCCCTTGACACTGAGCTATATCCCCAATCTCTTTTAATTTTAATTTTTATTTATGAGATAGGGTCTTACTAAGTTGTCCAGACTGAACCCAGTCCCCTGCCTCAGCCTCCCAGAATGTTGGGATTACAGGTGTGCCACTATGCCCAGCCAGATTTATGCTTTTTTTCCCCATTAATTTTATTGGTACATTGTAGGTATACAATATGCTGACATTCATTTTTAGTATATGTGCTGCCGAAGCGAGCACAATGCTGACATTCCTTATTAGGCGTTTGTACCTTTACACAATATATCTTGGTTCTTATTTTTTTCCCTGTTCCCCTGCCCTCCCTTTAACCCCTCCACCCATCCCTATTTAGGGGAAAGGAAAGAAGGGAAAGGAATAAATATGAGAAAAGGAAAAAATGGAAACAAAGTCTTTGTAAACAGATTCATGCTTTTGAATTATATTTTCTCGTTTTTTTCTTTCTTTTTATTTGGTTTTGCTTTTTGGTGCTGGGGCTGGAACCCAGGGCCCCATGCATGTAGAGCAGGTACTCTAGCGGCTTTACCACTGGCTTCTTGAATCATATTTTACCGTATCTGATCATTTTTCTTCAAGGATTTTATCCTGGAACATTACAGTGAAGATGGCTATTTGTATGAAGATGAAATAGCAGATCTAATGGATCTGAGGCAGGTGAGTTCTGTGTGCATCAGAGCTGGGAGGATGGCTCCTGCTCCTTGCTGAGTCCTCGGGACACTTGTAGTCCTAGAGAATGGAGGATGGTTGGAGGTGGCGGGATGGAATCACCCATTCCACTTGCTCCCTAAGAAAAACCATAGAAGGGGTGACACCTGCCTGTTGTTAGGCCTTGGAGGTGGTTTCCTGACTTCTCTCAGGCCCTTTTGCTCCTGCTGAGTTCATGGTATCGGCCCTGGAGCCCACAGAGCTGAGAAGCAGTGAGCGGCTCCTGCTCCTGTGTGCAGCGCACGGCAGCCAGCACATCCTGTCCTGCTCATGCCTCTGCCTATCCTTCTCTCCAGGCTTGTCGGACACCCAGCCGGGATGAGGCGGGGGTTGAACTGCTGATGGGCTACTTCATCCAGCTGGGCTTTGTAGAGAGCCGATTCTTCCCACCCACCTGCCAGATGGGGCTCTTGTTTACCTGGTAGGTGCCTGAGATCTGCACAGGCGCTTTCCCAGGTCCTGATCCACCCACACCTGTTGCAGATTCTCCTCCTGCACTGCAGTCCCCTCTTTCTGCCTTTGGTGTTTATACAGCAGACTCTGTGGAGGGGTGTGTGTTAACAGATGGATATTTATGGTGGGGACCATAAATAAGGCTCAACTAGACTGGGTGCTTGCATCTTAGAACAAGGGAGCCAAGGAAAAGTTGGGTTTTTTTTTGGTATCAGGGATCGAACTCGGATCCTTGCGCTTGTGCAGCAGGCGGTGAACCCACTGAGCTAAATCCCCAGCCCCTATGGAAAAGTTGTTTTTGAGGGGAGGCTCATTATGTCCATGGGGAAACACTGGAGTACTGAAGTTGAACCAGTGGGAAGCAAGATTCTCCCCTAGATGGGACAGGGCTATGGGGTGTGAGTGGGAATTGGGTTTTGTGCCAATGACAAGTACAGCAAACATGGACATTAAAAACTGAAGTGAAAGAATAAGCATTCTTCTTTAAGAGAAGGTTTAGGTTCACAGCCAAGTGAACAAAAAGCGTATAGAATTCTCATTGTCCCTTCTCCCTGTACACACTCAGTGCCCCTCAATATTAACATTCCCACCACTGAGGTTTGCTTGTCATAAGGGATGAATGCCCCTTGACACCTTTATCACCCAGACTCCACAGTTTATATTAGGTTTCCTCTGGGTGTTGCGTATTCTCTGGGTTTTGACAAATGCACAAGGACCTGCTTTCCCCATTGTAGTAACATGCAGAACGGTTCTTCTGCCCTTCCAATCCTCTTTGTCCTTCCCTCCACTTCAGCTTCTAGCAGCCACTGATCTTTCCACTGTCTCTTTAGCGTTGCCTTTTCTAAAACATCACATGGTCGGAGTCAGACAGTAGATAGCCTTTTTTCACTTAGTGATAGCATTTGTTTCCTCCATGCCTTTTCATGGCTTGCCAGCTCATTTCTTTTTAGCACTGACTCATATTCCATCGTCTGGATGTACCATAGTTTGTTTCTCCATTCACCTGCTGAGGAGCATCTTGGTTAAGAAGTCTTTTTTTTTTTTTCTAGGACTAAGGATTGAACCTAGAGCCTTTGCACTGAACTATATCTCTACCCTTATTTCAGTTTTTAATTTTGAGCTAGGCTCTTGGTAAAGTGTCACAGTTGCCCAGGCTGTGATTAAACTTGTGATCTTTCTGCCTCAGCCTCCCAGATTGCTGGGATTATAGGTGTACACCAGCATATCCAGGTGAGAGGCCTTATGTCTGTATGTGACTGTGGTGGGTCTTTAATCAGGCTGATCAGACCTGTCATCTTGCTTGGCAACAAAAGTCTCATTGCATGTGTATCTTTGGATTTTATTTAAGAAATAAATTTTGAGTTGGGAGTGATGGTACATGCCTGTAATCCCAGCACTCGGGAGACTGAGGCAAGAGGCAAGAGGATCGTTTAGAGTTTGAAGCCAGCCTGGGCTACATAGTGAGACCCTGTCTCAAAAAAAAAAAGAAAGGAAGGAAGAAAGAAATTTTGCCCACATTCACCCGAAGTGGCATTAACTAGTTGAGTAACCTGTATTCTCAGAACACATTTCTTTTAAATAGGTATGACTCCCTCACCGGGGTTCCGGTCAGCCAACAGAACCTGCTGCTGGAGAAGGCCAGCATCCTGTTCAACATCGGAGCTCTCTATACACAGATTGGGACCCGGTGCAATCGGCAGACTCAAGCAGGGTTGGAGAGTGCTGTGGATGCCTTCCAGAGGGCTGCAGGTGAGTCCCTGCTGGGGCTGGTGGACACAGCCTGGCCTCTGCCAACAGAGGGTCACAGGTCCTCTGCAGATCCATGCTTGGCCTCAAAAGCCTGAAAGGGCCGAGCCTGTTTCCAGCACTGACGTAACTTGCTGTCACATAACTTGCTTGATGGTTCAAGCCACGTGGGCTTGGTCTGTGGTGGCTCATGTTCACAGTGAGGCCTGTGGTTAACGGTTAATGAAGATGCCAGGAAGAACTGTTCCTTTCACTGCTCTACGAGGGCAGAATAACTTCTCCAAAACTGTGGAAATGTGGGCCTTGGTTTATCTTATCAGTGAGTGATCTTATAGCCTCCCTTATCCACGGGGACAGGCTCCAAGACCCTCAGTGGACACCTGAAACTGGGAACAGTACTGGACTGTATATATATTATGTTTTCCCCTATATAAACATTCCTAATATAAAGTTTAATTTGTAGACTAGACCCAATAAGAAATTAACAGCAATAGCTAATGATAAAATAGAACAGTTAAAAAATATACTGTCATAGAAGTTATTTAAACCAACTTCCGTCTTTCCTTTTCTTTCCTTCCTTCCTTCCTTGCTTCCTTGCTTTCTCACTTTCTCACTTTCTCACTGTGGATTGAACCGAGGGCCTTTTTACTGAGCATTGCCAAACCTTTTTTATTTTGAGACAAGGTCCCACTAAGTTGCCCAGGCTGGGCTCAAACTTCGATCCTCCCGATCCTCCTGTTGCAGCCTCCCAGAGTGCTGCTGGAATCACAGGTGTGCACCACCACTCCTGGCTTCATTTAGTATTTTTGGACCGAGGCTAACTGAAACCAAGGAAAGCAAAACCTCAGATAAAGAGGGACTACTGTGTGTTTCTCTTGGCCTTTATTTGATACTCATTCTGCCAAGTTCGCTGTTCCCAGCCCTCTTTCTGGTGATATGTAGGGATACCTCAGGGTTCTATGAGCCTCTTCCGGGATTTCCCATTTTAACCTCTTTTCCCAGCCAGTCATCCATAAAAGTATTCACAGTGACCTAGATGCAAGGTGGAGGAGAAAGCCAGCTTATCGCCAGCCCACAGAGAGTGTCATCACCAGATCCGGTGCGGGGGAGAGCCTGGCATGCCTTAGGCATGACTGAGGGGTCTGCTGCTCCCCTCTAGCAGGGCCTGTGTGTAGGGCAGAGTCAGTGTGGTGTGGTGGACAAACCCAGTGACATAGGAGCTGGCTCCACAGCCTTCCGGCCTGTGCACTGCTCCTCCCCATTTGTCTCTGGAGTGTAATGAGCAGAACAAAGAACCTGCCTGGTACTCATGTTGCTTTAAAAGCCTGTGAAGTACTGCAGCTTTGCCATCGTGAAATTTCTTGTGTTAAAATGTTTGATCTCTTGGATGAATTGATATGCTAAGATCCCATTTGGATGGCCGTTGCTTTTTTCTTTGGTTTTTTGAGACAAGGTCTGACTTGCAGTCCAGACTGACTTTGAACTAGAGATCTTCCTGCCTCAGCTTCCCAAATGTTGGAGCATCCTATTTCTTCTACTGGAAAATTTCTGGACTTATCTTTCTTTCTGCAGAATGTTTCTTTCTGCAGGCACACTTTGAGATCTATCTACAAAATGTCAGGGGTAGACCGAAGGAAGATGGAGAGCAGCGGGGGAATGTGGGGAAGCCCAGAGGGGAGCAACGCTGGAAGCAAGTGCCATCTTTCTGTGGGGTAGCAAAACCAGAGGAACCGGTTGGTTGGGTTCCATGGTAGAGTGTTTTCAGGTCTAGCTTGATTGTCAGTCAGTGCTCTGGACAGTTAATTTTCTAAAGTATGGGAAAGTCGGCTGGGGGCTGCAGCAGAACTTGTCCGTGGGAATGGATCGCGCTGTTCTTCCCTGAGGGCCCTGGGAAAGCCATGTCTCTGAGTGACCCAGGTCTCCCGGGTGAGTGTGTCCCCCGGCCCCCTTCGCTCATTCCACCTGCTTTCGGCTTTCACCTCTGTCTCATGCCTGGTCACCAGTGGAAGGTCCCACATCTGTCCCAGGTGAGACAGGACCAGAGGGGAGCCAGCTGCTGTATTTGGTTGCTGTAGATGTAAATGTTTTTGAAGAAAATACACGTTTTAAAATTTTTTGTTTTGTTTTGTTTTTTGTAAAATTTTTTGGTTTTAAACATTATTGTTGCAAAATATATGTAAGGTAATATTTATTTATTTATTTATTTATTTATTTATTTATTTATTGTGTTGGGGATTGCACCCAGGGCCTTTGCACTGAGCAATATCATCAGCCCTTTTTAAATTTTTTAAATTTTGAGACAGAGTCTAGCTAGGTTGTCCAGGCAAGGCTTGAACTTGTGATCCTCCTGCCTCACCTTTCTAATGTGCTGGGATTACAGGTGTGTGCCACTGTGCCCAGCAGTTTTAACAGTTTTTAACTGTACGATTCAGTGGCTGTACCATTGTCCAGCTGCACAGAATGCTTTTATCATTTACACCGAGACACTGTACCTGTTAAACAGCTTCCTCTCCTCTTCCCCCAGCTCCTAGTAACCTCTCTTCTGCTCTCTGTCTCTATGAATTTCACTATTCCAGGTACTTCACTATACAGAATCATATTGTGTTTGTCCTTTTATGACCATAATGTCTCCATTCTTGTTGTAGCATGTGTCATAATTTCATTCCTTTTTTTTTGGTACCAGGGATCGGACTTGGGTCCTTGCGCTTGTGGGACAGAGGGCGGAACCACTGAGCTAAATCCCCAGCCCTTATTTAATATTAAAAAATTTTTTAATATATTTTTTTCTTTTTGTGGTGCTGGGGATGAAACCCAGGGCCATGTGCATGCTGAGCATGTGCCCTGTCTACAACTGCACCACACCTCTAGTCCCTTACTCCTTTTTAAGGCTCTGAGATTGCATGTGTACATACCGTGCTTCCTTACTCATCCATTGACAGACATTTGATTGTTTCTGCCTTTAGCTCTTATGAATAATGCTGTGAGTATTAACATGAGTATACATGTTTCAGTTATGTCCCTGCTTTCAGTTCTTTGGGTATATAGGAGTGGAATTGCTGAGTAATACAGTATTTCAGAATCACATTTTTTAAAGATGCTCTAGGATATCATATACATACGTGTGTATGGTTGTTTGTGTGTGTGTGTGTGTGTTTTGTTTTGCAATGCTGGAGCTCACAAATGCTAGGCAAGGGCTCTACAACTGAGCTACAGCCCTAGCCCAGCTTTATATTACTTCTACCATTCTCTATAGCAGCATGGTGAAATACATATGATCCTCAACTAATGAACAAAAAACTTGTAATTGCAGGGGTTTTAAACTACCTGAAAGAGACATTCACTCATACTCCGAGTTATGACATGAGCCCCGCCATGCTCAGCGTGCTGGTCAGAATGATGCTTGCTCAGGCCCAAGAAAGTGTGTTTGAGAAAATCAGTCTCTCTGGGATCCGGAATGAGTTCCTCATGCTGGTGAAGGTGGCACAGGAGGCTGCCAAGGTAAGGCTTCCTAGTTCCTGTGACTTTTAGGGGTGGGCAGGATATGTGGGCATAGGCATCCTGGGCGCAGCGAGGGGCGTTCCCATGGAGGCAGCTTGCCTGTCACCTGGGCAGTGTGCCCACCCTAGCTGAGGCTGCTGGCTCACATCTTGGCAAGCATCAGTGTTTCAGATATGGATCATTGATTCCATCTGGAGCTTAGCCTAAAAACCAGCCTAATGACAGGTGGCTGATCGCCCAGTTAACTCTGATGCTGGCAGCAGGAGGAGTCGCTTGGCATGGCGCCCAGATTCCAGAGGGGCCTCTGGCAGGGGCTGCTGCCTGGAAGAAAGGTCTCTTTTTTTGCAGCCCCTGTGCTGGGCTTGATCTTCCCATGGCCCCTTCTGTTTCAGGTGGGAGAGGTGTACCAGCAGCTGCACATGGCCATGAGCCAGGCGCCCGTGAAGAAGAACATCCCCTACTCCTGGGCCAGCCTGGCCTGTGTGAAGGCCCACCACTACTCAGCCCTGGCCCACTACTTCACCGCCATCCTCCTCATCGACCACCAGTGTGAGGCTTGGGGCTGGGGGGGCCGGGGGTGGTCAGGGCTGGGGGGATTCTGAGGTGAGTGGAGGCTGCCTTCCTGCCCTGGAGGTGCTCACAGCCTGAAGCCAGAGAGAGGGGAGGACATGTTGACTGGGCAGCTGTCACCTGGTCCCGGCAGAGTGAGGGTTATAGGCTCCTGTGGGAGGGACAAGGGGTAGTTTAATTCTGCCTGGGATCCATCAAATGAATTTTCACCTGGAATCTAGACTCTAAGGGGTAATAGTAACTCAGTACTCAAGATAAGCAACATTAAAAGAACAAGATAAGCAACATTTTAAAGTGGCAGTTTACCTTTTTATTATTATTATTATTTTTTTTTTAGCATTGCTAGGGATGTACCCTAGGGCTTGGAGCATGCTAGGCAAATGCTCTACCACTGAGCTACATCACCAGCCCTAAGGTTGTGTTTTAAATAAATCAAAATTAATGTGAAAAATCTGTGATTAAATTTTTAAATAAAGGCAGGGATCACCATCACTGTAAACAGATCTGTGCTGAGCCTTGTTAGAGCCTGAGGTAAAAAAGAAATTCACCATGGATTTTTTGGCATTAATTTTTATATTGATATTGAAATATATATCTTATTGAATTCACATTACCCTTTAAATTATTGATTCTGAGGTAAGTACCTCACTTTCCTCAGTCCAAGGGCTGGTTCTGATCAAGTGATCAGGTGAGGTTTTTTTTTTCCATTTTATTATTTAATTATAAAATAAATATATATGTATGCTGTATAACAAGAAGTTCTGATTTTTATTTTTGTTTTGTTTTATGGTGGGGCTTGAACCCAGGGCCTCATGCATGCCAGGCAGGTGCTATGCCACTGAGCTGTAACCTCAGCCCTTCAGGAGGGATTTTTGATGTAGTAATTAGTGCTAATCAAGGTGATCCCCAGAGTAATGGCCAGCTGTTCAGCGCTATAGCTCAGCTCTGCCACTGTCTAGCTCTGTGACCTCAGACAAGCTGCTTAGCTGCTCTGTGCCAGTTGTCTCATCTGTAAAATGGAGATAGGAAGAGAACCCACCCCCAGAGCTGTTGTAGAAACTGAGTACCTATATGCAAAGCTAAAGCGTCCCTTGTGTGCTAGAGACTGGAGGTGCTAGCTGCCGGTATAGTATTGTGTGGTCCACTAGGGGTGAACTAATGGAAAAGCAGTCTCCCGGTAAGTGGTGTCGAGACACAAATGAGGCAGCAGTTCGTGTAGTCCTAGATGGCTTCTCAGAGGCAGTGACATTGGAATTTGGCTTTTGTTTTTCTTCTTCTTTTGTGATATTGTGGATTAGACCCAAGACCTTTGCACTGAGCTACATCCGCTTTCTTTCTTTCTTTCATTCATTCATTCATTCATTTATTTAAATTTTGAGACAGGGTCTTGCTTACTAACTTCCCCAGGCTGGGCTTGAACTTGCAGACCCCCTGGTTCAGCCTCCTAGAGTGCTGCAATCCCAAGCATGTGCCACCAGGCCTGGCGAGTTCAGCTTTTTTAGCTAAAATGGAGAGTGGCAGCACCTGAGCACAAGAGAGGAGGTCCAGGGTGTGGGGCTAGTGTCATGAGGCAAGTGAGTATCCAGAGGACACGCTCCAGAAGGTGGGGTGAAGCAGAGGTGAGGCCTCATCCTAGGCATGGAGGCCACCAGAGGTGTGCAGACCTGGCAGCAGAGGTTCAGGGATGTGCTAGGAGGGCCCAGCAGTGGGTAACTTGGAGGAGGTCATGTGTGGAGGCTCAGGGCCAAATCATGAGCCCCTGGCATGTGGCTGGCCCCAGCGAGCAAAGGGTGGGATTGGATTGCCTGGGCTGAGTCTGGTACCCCAGGTGCCTGGTGCAACTACAGAAGGAAGGAGCCTGGCGAGGTGGCACCACCTCCAGGGATCTGACTGTGGCTCTCGTTGCAGTGAAGCGAGGTGCGGACGAGGACCATCAGGAGCAGTGCCTGTCCCAGCTGTATGACCATATGCCAGAGGGGCTGACACCTCTGGCCACACTGAAGAATGATCAACAGCGCCAGCAGCTAGGTCCGTCCCTGCCCTGGACCTGGAACTGTGCCTGGAGTGCTTGGGGGAGCAGGGCATCCTACGGCATTGTGGCCACTCTGGATTCAGATGTTGAGGCACAGTCCTCTGGCTCAAAGGGCTCCCAGAGGTGCCTAGGGTTCTTACCATGGAGGCAGAGCTGTGACTGGTTCCCAACACTGGTGGCCCTTGGGTGGCCCTTTGCTGTCCTAGTGCAGGACACGGTGTTAGTTTTCTTATGCTTGACCAAGAGCAAGTCAAGGCGCAGTGGGTTGCCATGTGTCAGTGGGAATCCCTTGCCACTGCAGCCTGGCTCCATGCAGCACCCACTCCCACCCCCACCTTGGGGATGGTGGCTCCACCCTCCATGCTTTGGCCAGGATCCTTGGACTCTGCACCCTTGTCTGTCTTTTGCACCCTATATTTGATCAGCAAATTCCTTCGGTCCTACCTAGGAAACATAATCCTAAATCTGGTCACTGCTTACCCTTCCACACTGGTAAAAGCCACGCATAGATAGTGTTCGCTTGACAAACACGCCCCACACAACCCTCTGAGACAGGTATTGGCATGGAGGAAACAGAGGCCTGGAGTGGATGTGCAGCGTGCCCTGCTCATAGCTGGTCTTCCCACTTCTCTGTGTTCCACATTTCAGTCCACTGCCCCACACCCTGATGGGCCCAGGGTTGGGAGTGAGCAAGTCTTTATCCTATTTATAAGGTCAGGCCTGATCTGGCCCCTGGTCCTCTCTGACTTCATTCTGTGTCATTCTCCCTCCAGCCATACCCCCACTTCCTGGTGGCCTTGAAAACCTATGCCTGTGCTGTGCTTTCTTTCAGAAATGGTCTTTCATTAGATATCTTCATGGCTGCTCTTTCACTTCCTTCGGGGTTCTGCTCAAAAGTTACCCTATCACACGGTAAACAAAAGCAGGAAAAAAAGATGAATAAAAAATAAAAATATAAAGTCAAAAAAGTTACTTTATTTAAAAACTCCTCCTTGTCCACCATCATGGAATAGCTTCTATTCCCAATCTTTCTCACCACACCCACCTACTCTGTTTTATTTTTTCTCTATAACCTTGTCATCACATGATCCACTACAAATTTCTTTGCCTGTTAATCATCTCTTCATCCAGTAATGTGTAACTCCATGAACCTGGGGGAAAGTTTTTGGTCATGACTTATCTGTAGTACCTAGGGCATTCTGTGAATGTTTGTGGAGTGCACGTTTAATAGACACAAGTAAACATGCATCTCAGAGGGCCCCTGGCTGTCCCAGCAGATCCTTTAGAAAGGGCCACCTTCTTGGCTGGACCTCAGCCCTGTGCTGCTCTGTGATGTAGTCACATGCCACATGAGTGGAGTCTTCTTCCTGTAGGAAAGTGCCACCTGCACAAAGCAATCACCCACCACGAGGAGTCGGTGAGGGAGGCCAGCCTGTGCAAGAAGCTGCGTGACATCCAGGTGCTTCAGGAGGTGCTGTCGGCCGCACAGCAGCGCACGAGGCTCAAGTACACTCAGCACCAGGAGGACGACGACGATCTCCTGAACTTCACCAATGCACCCAACGTTGTCCGTGAGTGGCCAGGACTGAGACCCTGCATGTGTATGGAGTTCCCACGCCCCTGTGGGAAGCCAGACGCCTGCTATTCACACTGCCTGCTCGTCCTGCAGGGCTGCATGGGGAGGGACCTCCCTTGACCTGGCCTTTCCATCTCTGGATCCCCACATCCAGGGGCTTCTGCAGTCTTCCTCCCCATGATGCCTGTGCAGCCCCTGCTCCTCTCCTAACCCCTTGACACTCCTCCATGAGTGTCAGGTGCCTGCCACCTCTGTACTGTGAGCCCTCATTCTCTGTCCTCTGGGCTGACTGCACTTGTGGTCTGGTCTTACCCATCCCAGCCTTTTCTACGGTCTGCTCTCCCTGGTTTGTCTTCTCTAGGGCCCTTTCCATAAGGTCTCAGGACCTGGTTTGGGGCTCAGCCATTGCTGTCGTCAGGCGACCCCGGGAACTCATGTTTCTCCCTGATGCCCTCAGAGGCTCCACACCACGAACATTGCAGCTACTTTTTAGAAAAATTGTGCTCTGCTGTCTTTTACTTCCTGCTTCCTAGACAGCCTTGTGGTACCCCTCATGAGCTTGCTCCTAGCTCTGTTTTCTTCATTTTCCATCACCACCACCATCTCTCAGCGTCTCTGGGTTGTGGGCACCCTTTTGGCTCAGGAGTGGGTTGTGAACTGGGCAGTTGCTGCTGCCCTAGATTCATGGAGGTCACTTATGCCTGGGATGGTGGGAGTGCAAAGGCCTCCTTAGAGCAGTGGCTTTATGGTGAGGGAGGGTAAGGATCAGGATCCTCCTGAGGACACAGAGGAAAAACCAACTCAGGCTCCACTTCTCCCACTGCACACTCACAAGACAGACCCCTCCTGACACCAGGTGAGAGGTGGTTGCCCCCACCCAGCAGACGAGCAGTTCCAAAGCTGACACCCGTGGGTGCTCTGTAGCCCAGTTCAGTACCCACGCTGTCCACCCCCAGGTGGCATCACGTCCCCCAGGCTGAGGGCCTAGTTTCCAGAACTCCCTGACCCTCTGATGCTGCTCACAAGCCCTGGGTGGTTTCACCAGACTTCCCACTGGCCAGTTGTAAATCAGCTTCCCGCACTCCTCCTCTGGGTCAGTTTCCTAGAATGACATAGGATACAGCGAGGTGGAGGGAAGGTTGCTGAGCTTCTGCAGCCTTTTCTGGTGGTTCTCCCTCGAGGAACCACCTTGTGTTTAGCTCTCCCAAAGCAACTCTGAGCCCTGTCCTTTGGGGATTTTATGGAGATGTCAGAATGTGGGCCACTGCTCACTGTGAAATGCTTGCATCACATGTTAGTAATGAGAGCAGGAAGCCCATTACATCAGGGCTGTATACTGAGAGCCACATCTGAAACAGGTCATTTCTCAGTAGAGTGGCAGTTGAAGTCCACCAGAAGAGGAGTAGGCTCCTTCGAGGGGGTGAGGAATGTGTCTGGTTGTTACTCCTCTGTCCCAGCCCCAAATAGGTTATGTCTCATAGGTGGCCCCCAGTGGAAGGCATAGTGACCCCAGCCAGGGTTGAGCAGGATTCCATCTTCCACTGTCCCACTGTCCCAACCAAGGCGAGTGACACATGGCCAGGAGAGAGCCTTGCTTTGTCTTCTGTTTGGAGAGAAGGCTGAAGACCTGAGTTTTAAAGGATAGCTGTCCATTACAGAAACATTTATCTTTTCATTTTTAATCTTCTTTTCTAGCTAAAACGGAACGAGAGGCTGAAATGATACTGCCCCAGTTCTCCAAAGTGACAGTAACGGACTTCTTCCAGAAGCTGGTATGTTGAACACCTATTTCAAAAATGACCTAAGGGGACAGCTTTTCTATTTTCTTTTTTTTGATACCGGGGATCAAACTCGGGACCTTGTACTTGCAAGGCAGGTAGCGGAACCACTGGCTTTTCTATTTTCCAATAGAAAATACATTGTCTTAGCCTATCCAGGCTGCTGTAACAAAATACTATAAACCAAATGGCTTTTATACAACAGAAATCCCTGTCCATGAATTCTGCCAGCTGAGAGGTCCAAGGTCAAGTCAGCAGCAGATTCAGGGTATGGTGAGGCCTTGCTTTGTGACTCAGAGATGGTGCCTTCCGACTGTGTCCTCATGTGGAAGAGACTAGTGGCTCCAGTGGGCCCTCTTATATGAGCATTAATCCCATTATTGAGGGCTCCACTTCATGACCCATTCACCTCCCAGCAGGCCTGATCCTAATGATCGCATTGGTTTCAGCACAAATTTGGGAGAGACAAAAACTTTCAGACCATAGCATATTTTAAAAGCTCTATATTTAGGTATTTGGGGTTTTTTTTATGTTAAAGGTTTTATTTAAGACTTGGTTTTGTTTTGTTCATTGTTTTTGAGGCAGGGTCTCACTGTGTATCCCTGGTTGGCCTTGAACTTGAAATCCTCCTGCCTCAACCTCTTTGAGTGCCAGGATGACAGGCTTGCACCACTGCACCTGGCTTAAAATAATTTTAATTACGATACTTTTTAGAAGATAATATTGTTTTAAATATATTGGATAGGTTAGAGAAAATGGCAGTTAGTATTCTTGTATGCCTGTGGTAGCACCTGTTGCTCCAGATGGTATCTTTAGCCTCTCAACAAGGCCAAAGGAGGTCTTCAGGACAACAGGCAATGTTCCTCTTTGCTTCCATGTGTCTGGTTCAGAACCAGGCACGGGATACCTGCAATTCCTGCTGTTCAGGAGACCAAGGCAGGAGGATCCCTTGAGCTCATGACTTTGAGACCAGGCTGCGCAACATAACATAGTGTGACCCTGTCTCAAAAAAAGAGTCTGATTTGACCTTCAGATGTTCAACCTAATGATGCTCTCTTCCCAAGGGCCCCCTGTCTATGTTTTCGGCTAACAAGAGGTGGACACCTCCCCGAAGCATTCACTTCTCTGTGGAGGAAGGCGACCTGGGGTTCACCTTGCGAGGCAACACCCCCGTTCAGGTCCACTTTCTGGATCCTTCTTGTTCTGCTGCGGTAAGCCCATTGCTCTCCAGGTGGGGGAACACAAAGCAGACAGCCCAGATACCTATTGGATGACGGAGTTTAGGGCTCACCTATGCCAAAGGCCTGCTGGGTGCTCCATGCCCAAAGAGGGAAGAATGAACATTTGCCCTCTCTTGAAGCAAACGTATGCACATGTCTATTGGGAACTGACTAGGAATTAAATGTACAAAACACTGACCTTTATTTAAACGATATTTTTGTAGCTGGCAGGAGCCAAGGAAGGAGATTATATCATTTCCGTTCATGGCGTGGATTGTAAGTGGCTGACGGTGAGCGAGGTTATGAAACTGCTGAAGAGCTTCGGTGGGGAGGAGATTGAGATGAAGGTCACGAACCTCCAGGATTCCACGTCGTCCATGGTGAGCACAGAGGCTCCCAGTGGTGAATGCAGTGTGGAGTGGGGTCACTGTGTGCTCAGCCCGAGGCCTTTCCCAGGCCCCTGCTTTCCACCTGTGCATCATAGCACGCACAGTTTGCTTTCGAGCCAGTCACCCCTGCATGTGCTCACCGGGTCAGAGGGATCACTTGAAAAGTTCAAAATTCTAATCCCATAGATAAAATAATCAGTAGATTTGTTTTTCTGCTTAAGTTCTATTTAATTACAGAAGTAACACATAGGATTAAAAAATGTTCAGATGGTACAGAAGGGGTTAAGACAGCAAGCAGAAGTCCCCTGTTCCTCAGAGGCAGCACTATTTCCTGGGAGACCTTGAAAGTACTTGATGCTTCTCCAAGTTCATGCTCAGTTGGACCTTTAACTTTTCCCCAGTGGAAAGAATCATATCTGAGATTCTCCTGCACTTTGCCACTCTTAACAGTGTACCTTAACAGGCCCTCTATAACATTTATTCATTCAGCAAATACTGCTCGTCAGCTGTGTGTGTGTTAGTGTTTTTGTTACTCTAGTGAATTACCTAAGGCAGGCTACTTATGAAAAAAGAGGATTACTTAGCTTTAGCTCAAAGTTTTGGAGGTTGAAAGTCCAAGATCAGGCAGCTGCCTAATGGCAGATGGCAGCATGGTGGGAGCACATGCAAAAGGGAGAGATCACATCCCAAAGTAGGAGGTCCCAGCACTCTGGTAGGCTGAAGCAGGAGGATCACAACTTTGAGCCTAGCCTGGGCAACTTAGCGAGACCCTGTCTCAAAATAAAAAATAAAAAGGAGTGGGGATGTAGCTAAGTCTGAAGATCCTGGGTTAAATCTCCAGTACAGAAAAACAAAAAACAAAACAAACCCAAAACAGGAAGCCAGAGCCACCCAAGTCCATCTTCTGAGGGGACACCTCCAGATGACCCAGGAACTTCCTGCTGGGCCCTGTCTCTTAAAGGTCTCGGCTCCAACAGTGCCTCACCGAGCACCAGGCTCCCACATGTGAGCCTTTGGGGAACAAACCACATCCCAGCCACAGCACTAGGGCCAGGTACTAGTAGGCGTTGGAGCTTCAGCTCCAAGTAGACAGAGCAGGTCCCTGTCCCCAGGAAGCCAGCACTAAACAAGCAAGTACGTGGTTGTGATTTGATAAGGGCTATAGGAAAAGAAAACACGTAATGTGGTCAGAGGTCTAGGGCTGGGGAGAGGCTCCTAGACTGGGCTGGAACTAACCATAGTGACAAGGTTGAGCCCTAGAGATAAGAAGAGTGTGCTGCTCATAGGCCCTGCCCCAGGATGGGCTTCTGCCAGCACCAGAAAGAAAGCCTTTTGTTGGCAGCACTGAGTGGTGGGAGAGAGTGCTGGGAGGAGGCGGCAGGGTGTGTGGCAGGTGTGGAAGGCACTGACCCCTCCAGCAGGGCGGTGAGTGGTGGGGTGTTTACTTTGGCAGAGGTCAGCCCAGGCCAGCGACGTCAGTGGTCAGGCGTGGGAGTGGTGGTGGAGTAGAGAGAGGAGGGTGCACCTGAGACGTAGTTTGGAGGTGGGGCTGAGAGGGAGTTGTGGGTGCTTTTGTACAGATGGAGAGCAGGGAGGAGGCGCCCCAGTTTCTAGCTTCAAGAACTGTGTGGGCAGGGGGTCTTTTTCATCATGTGGGGAACCAGGGCAGGGGATGTGGAGGAGACAGAAAACAAGAGTTGGGCTTTGGATGTTTCAGGTGCTGCTGGTCATCAGATGTGAAAGGTAGGCAGCAGTTGAGTGTTCAAACCTTCAAGGGAGAAGTCAGAGCTAGAAATAAATATTTGAGAGTCATCAACATAGAGATGATATTTAGAGCTGTGAAGCGAGATGAAATCACCAGGGGGGTGTGGATGGACACCTGAGACACCTCGAGCATTTAGAGGCCAGTTAGAAGAGACATGGGTGCACAGGAACTGAGAAGGAGGGTTCAGAGAGGGAGGTTAGGAGGAGCTTCTGGAGTCAGGAAGAAAATCAGTCTGGTGTGGTGGTGCATGTGTGTAATCCTAGCACTCTGGGAGGCTGAGGCTGGAGGATCACAAGTTCCAGCCAAGCCTGGGCAACTTAGCAAATTGGTGAGATCACCAAAGGGCTAGGGATGTGGCTCAATGTGAAGGCCTTGGGTTCAAACCCCAGTAACAGAAAGAGAGAGAGAAGAAAATCTTGCATCAGGGAGTGACTAGTTGTATTGAATATTGAATTAAGAGGCAGTGAATGGGAGAGGCTGAGTCATATCTATTACATTTGGCAGCAGGACAAGCGGACAGTTTTTGTGGAGAGATGACAACAGAATCAGGTTGGAGAGGGCTGGTGGATGAATGGATTTTACAATTCCATTGATAGAATTTTCTGTAGAGTCAGACAGTAGGTTAGTGGGCTGGGGCAGGGAGAGAAGGAGTAGAATCCAGGCTCAGGAGGCCTTGATCTGTGGGGACAGATGCCATTAAGTATAAGGCAGGGATGTTACATAAGGAGGACATGTGAGTGGCCTGAGGAGGGAAGGAGGTATGAGACTGGTATCCAGGAGAAAAGGATTGATATGACTGACAGGAGTGACAGGTGCCTATTCAGAGGTTTGGGTAAGCTATAAGAAATTTTTTTTAAGCTTTTTTTTTCATTGGTACATGTTTGCAGTACATAATGATTACATTCATCGTGGGAAGTTGGTGCATGTACATAAGACATCTTAATTATTTTTACATCCTCTTCCCCTCCCTCCATGAACATTAACATTTCAAGGGAAGCCTTCTGCTTGGTAATTATCTTCGAAATGTGCAGCTGTTTGTGTATGAGGCTAGGGGAGGCAGAGGGTAGAGTTTAACTGGAGTTGATAGCTGTATTTATAAGAGAATGGTTCTAGATACAGGACGGACCCTTAAGCAGGTTGAGGGTAGAAAATCTCTGGCCAAAACCCTATTACCAAATAAGTTCACACCCTGAGGTGTTATTTTCTTTTGACTTTTTTTTTTGGTACTGGGGATCGAATTCCAGTCCTCCCGCTTGCAAGGCAGGCAGTGGAACCACTGAGCTAAAAACCCGGCCCCGTTTTGTTATTTCTTGATAGAGTGTATGTGTCCTGGAAAGCATGATATGATTAATGATTATATTTATTAAAAGGGAGAGAAATTCTCATTCAAAGTTATCAAATTCTGAAAGGAATGCCTCTCCTTTGTTGTTATCTTACTCTAGTTCCTCCTAAGATTTGTATTATGAATGTTCTTGACCACTGTAGATACATGGTATATGGTAAATGTTTAAATTTTTTAAAATGTATTATAGTAAAAGACACATTGCTATTGCTATCAACACCCCTCAAAATACTCCTTGATTCAAGCACACTTATTCCATAGTTCTTGCCACTTGGCACAAGCAGTTCTGGAAGTCTTTCGTGGGCATCTTTAGTTGTGCTGTCGTGGCTGCCTTGATGTCCTGAATTGATTTAAAATATTTACCTTTCATGGTCATTTTGAATTTGGGGAAAAGCTGGAAGTCACATGTTATTAGACTGGTGAATCAGCTGAACAAGGATACAACATAATGTTTTTCCAGCCTGCCTTTCCATTGGATGGCATTCAGCAGCAGCATTCATGTATTTTTTATGACACTTCATAAAAACACTCACAAAAGAGGATTGCCAGAATCACTTCAGAAAGTGGCAAGAACAATGGGATAAGTGTGTTTGAAGCGGGGGCTGGGGGGTGTTTTGAGGGGAAAGGAAATAGTGGCAATTAATTATAGTGTTGTTTACCATAATAAATTTTTAAAAAGCAAACATTCACTGTATTTTATGATCAGAGATCCTACCTTGGTAGATTTCTATAAAAGGCCTGGTTTAGTGCCTGGAACAAAACACTGGGTGACCAAAACTGTCTCAATATTAGGCCATCCTAGAGGCAACTGACTTAGAAAGCTGTTTCCTTAGATTTCCTACTTGAGGCTTACATAATTTTTTCAAAGATAATAGTGTACAGAGTTTCAGTTGAGGAAGATGAAAAAAGCTCTGGAGATGGATGGTGATGATAGTTGTATAACAGTGTGAACATGTTTATTGAAGCTGAATGCACATTTAATTAAAATGGTAAATCACAGTATTTTGAAGGAGGAAAAAGTTAATGGCAGTATCTTCATGGATTTCTATATTGTCTTTAAAGAGAATGAAATTCATCTATACCTATTAGCAGGGATTGAAATCTTAAGTTCTGCTAAATGAAGAAAGCAAAGTGTAGAAAACAGGTATAGTATGTTCCTTTTAAGACAAGAGGTAGCCAGGTGGTGGCTCACCCCTATAATCTTAGCACTGTGGGAGGCTGAGGCAGAAGGATCACAAGTTCAAGCCCAGCCCAGGCAGTTCAGTGAGATCTTGTCTCAAAAATATTTGAAAGAGCTGGGTGTGGAGCTCAATGTGAAGGCCCTGGGTTCAATCCCAAGCACCCCAGACAAATGGTGAAGTATCCTTATGGGCATATACAAATACGTATGTACATTATCTCTATAAGTATAGCACAGTGGTTAACTCAGAGGAGGCACCAGGAAGCCAGAGTGAGAAGACCTGCTGTGCACTGTATTTTCATTTGCTGACATTGCTGTGTATTTCTCAAATGCAATAAGAAGCTTAAAAAGTGAGTAGTTATTCTGAAGCCTAAATCACTACTACTGAGTCTTTTCCTTAAGAATTGTCCTGGCTTTTTAAAAAAATATATTTTAT